AACTCCAATGTCAATTGTCCTTGTGGGTCCTACATCTTAGAACCGTACAAGTCAAACTTAACCATGCTTTTATGATCGCCGGTTTAAACAATCTCCCAAGTCGGTAAAATCGAAGTCCTGGAAAGACAGGAATGTCATCTGCTGACGGTTCCTTCCATACTGCCATCAGCTGACTTAGGTACTTCAGACTTAGGTCCGATCTGTAAAGGACTTTGACGAGCAATTCACCAAAGTGACGGTGTAAGGGCAGGTGCGTAATGAGCCGCGGATCGGGTTTTGCAAGTGGTATATACGGGAGTCCCTTGGGCGCTCTCTGTGTCAGGTGCACCCCAGGAACCGGACTTCATTTGAAGCGGAGCATCCTTCATAGCTGCACTTGAGTAAAGCGTCACGCATGAACAGCCTTAGAGAAGGAGAGTCGTCTTTACACGAAACTAAAAAAGATGTCACATGCAAGCTTGGCCAATACGAATACAAAAAAGACAGAATCCACAAAGACCCTGGCCTGCTCCGCACCCTAGCCTCCCGGCCTGGCTACGAACTAATCCTACCTGTCCCATGCAGAGTGCGGTTACCGTACTATCTGTACGGCAATGAAGCGGTGCTCGTTTGCGGCCCATTTGCAAGCAATTGGAACCTTTCGTGCACATTTCGTGCAGTCGAACACATCCCCCACACCTGAAAAGATAAGGAAGGTTGTAAACATCAACCTGAACTAAGATCTTTGTGTTGTATTTCCACATCAAAACCCACGCGCGCTTTTGTCGTTTTGATCCCCTTACGGACTCTTGCAGGCACCGCCGTCCTTCCAATGGCCTTGTCGACGCCTGGTAAGCTTCCGTACCTCTCTTGACCACCTATACACTAGCTAACCCGATCCCATTCTAGACTGAGTATAAAGTGAGCCCCTGTTTGGAACCGGCCAATGGTGACTGGATAATTTTGTTTCTGCAGCTGGCCTTGTAGCGTGGTCAATTACCATTAGCACGACTGGAGCCGATTGCCTACTTTGATGCCCTCCTAAGAGACTCAAAATAAAGCATGCGAAGTCACTTGTCGCTTTCCCTCCGTATAAGTACTTCGTCCACGATTCTTTATTTCGTGTATGTTCCTACATCTTGCATGAAGTAGCCTTCTACCTTTACGCAGTAAAACACTTGGATAAGTAACCACGTATACGTACATCAATCCTGATCATGATCATCGTCGCGGCGAAGCAATTAAGGCTCGTGCCATGTGGAGTGTATCTCAAAATCATGATTGCATTTAACCCGTTCTGATCCTGCTTCCCTCCACTCTCAACCTGACGCAATACTTTCTACATCTCTGCGCAGGTCCGCCAACTGGCAACCTGACAGCCTGTATCAAGATCGGGTTCGGCCGAAACGTCAACTGTTCCGCCGTTTCGACCCCCTTCGGCCCCGGTAACTCGACCAACTGCGTCTGCGGGGCTTACACCGGGGGCACCCTCCTCACCCCGACCGTCTGCCAGGCCACCGTGCAGTGCTCCACATGCACCCGGGGCTGCAACCGGGACGCCGACTGCTTCCCCGGGTACAACTGCGCCGCCGGCTGCGGCGGAGCCCCGACCCCAACAACCATCAGAGCGCAGAAATTCACCAGGATCTGCCTGCCCAACTGTGGCACGGCGCCTAACAACAAGACTGGCTGCTAGCCTGAGAGTGTGAAGTTTGAGACAGGAAGAGGGTCTCTCTAGCCGAATCAGACAGGGAGCGCCGTCGAGTCACGCAGCAGCTTTGAGATTCCAGTACACTTTTTAGGCAGCTATGCCGGACAATATCGCCTGTTATTACTCGCAAACATAGCCACAATCCGCCTCGGCCTTTCAACTAGGCCGGTGCAACAACATACGGACTAGCTAGACTCATATTAATATCTGGCGATCGAGTTGTCATGGTTTGGCACGGCAATCATGCATGGCGGTGCTAGTGCCATATGATTCAGCGCGCACATAAGATCCAACAATCATTACAATTTCCACACAACAATCAGGATGAGACCTGAAACATTTTTTCTCCAAGCAAACACCCAGATTGGAATGACTTTATGTTTATCTGAGTCGATCGATCTACAACTCAGTGCACTGCATCGACCTCCAAGTGCGAGCAAAATAAACGGTGATTTGCATGTATCGCCACATGTATGATCGACTTGCGACGCAGACGGGCTCTGATTGAGAGTAACACTCAGAAGCCGCACAGACACATGAAGGCCATCCAAAGTTCACGAACGTGACTCGATCATTATGGCATAATTTAAGTTGGCTGTTGCATAACTGGCCTCTGTGCTGAAGAATAGGAGTACGTGGATGACCCGAGCTGCCGACGTTGTTGCACGAACTGTCGTATTGTACGGGCACGCCAGATGGCGTTGCTGCGATTCTCTACGACTGCTTCTCTTCAGGGCTCACAAAAGCGCGCAAAGCCGGTACATCTCAGCGAAGGGCCCGGCAATAAGGCGAGTACTGCGTATGACTGCGGGAGGAACTAGCGGTGGCGAGGAATTGCGCGGCCGACTGGCGACTGTGAAAGACGAAGTGCTGATCGCCTGCGCACCACAGCAAGGCGGGCGCGCGCTCTTCGCGGCCGCGAAGGCGCTGCGTGCGAGCCGCATTTAAGTTTGAAGGGTGGTAAGCTATAGCGCCCCGTGACGACGTTGCTCAGCGTTTCCGTTTTCGGGCAGGGTTTGGCGCGCCCGGCGCCGCGAGAGGAAGCTACGCGCGGACAGCGGGACTGCGGCTGCATACGTACGTACGCGCTGCGCCGCCGTCGATCGTGAGCCTGCGGCCCGCTTTCTGAGCGGTTTGAAGGTTCTGGCCGGCTCGGCCTCGGAGGCAATCGCTGCCACGTGGCTTCGGTCGGCCGCCTCGGCGCTGGCCACGCTGGCGAAGAAGCGCCGGAAGGGGACAATTGATGACGTTGTGCTGACAAAGCACTCAGGGGCTCCTTGGAACGTAACGACAAAGAAACTTCGGAGGGTTGAAGACAACCACCTCCGCAAGTCGCCGGTCTGGGAAGCACGGTCTTCAAAAACGTTTGGACTGCGGATGGACCACGTTTGATCGTTTTTTTGGGCCGGCCCTTGAGCCCGAAAATCAGGGCCAATCAAGCCTGCAAGAACAATAACGGGGAGCCCCGATTTGGCGCCCCACTAATTCGTGGTCAACTGACAGGTCTCCTTCACGTTGGTGTTTACCTGCTTATTTTTTCGAGTTAACGTTAATTAATCTACAAAGAATTGGGACTAAAGTCTCACAGATGGTCTCACAGATAGGCCTCAACTTAATGCAAGGTTGACCCTCTAGGTCTCAACTCGTCATGAGACGTAGGAGCTCCGGTCAAGACCGCCCGTTTGCATCCGTGTTTTCAAGTTCGACTTATGCACTATGGAATCCATGTAAAGGTGGCACCCTTTTCTCCCTCTAGAAAAAGCCGGACGCAAGAGATAAAAGGGCGGCAAGCGTACCATAGAGGGAGTTTTAAATGGGGCTACTGTGTATACCCTCCGGTCGGTCGAACATGGTCATCGAATGTTAGACGGGTCCTCCTGATTCCCGCAGGCCCTCCTATATCCAATTGTACCGTGCAGCCACGGGAGTTTCATCATACCTTATAAGCAATCTCTTCGCGAGGGTGGAAACACCAACCGCTTATAAAGTGTCTCTGATGCCAAATTTCCACGGCCATCGGCTGAATCATGGCAGTCAAAGGATACACAAATCCGTCCGGACTAGTTCAAATTCCGAGCACCTTTTCAGTGCTCTTGCAATTGACTGCTATCTGGACTCCTACCGGCGACTTCCACACCTACCACCAACGACGCATCATTCGGGATGGGCATGAAGACGGCGGTTGTACATAGAAGACTTTAGATCGTTATAAGCATCTTAGCTTCTTTGTTGATTTGCGCTCTCCACCCACTAGTGCAACTGGACCCCGTCACCGTCCTGATACATTAGCTCAGTCTAGTATGCTTTGTTTGCTGGTAGACTTGTTGCGGATACCCCAGTATCCCCAGTAGTGCTGCAAGTTCAGTAGATCAGTTTAAGAACTAGTCGGTTTTCAACTTTCTCTGTCATGATGATGAACGCTACAGCTCCATGCTTCGGTACGGGCTTAGAATTGAAGTATACATACATACATGGTCCAACCTCGGGGTCGAGGTCTACAAGGGTGTGAATATGAGCGCTTATGCGGGAGGCGAAAACCGTCGAACCCAACCTTGTGCTGGCTTTGAGCGCTCGTCGCCCTGTGCCTCCGAAAAGACGACTCAACGGCCACGGCCCACAATCATGGCTTCCGAGCGTCTTTGTTTCCTCGTTCCGAGTTCATTGAGCCTCGGGATAAAGAAAGGAAAGAGGCCATTCTTCTCTCCCTTTTTGCCGCAAAATAGGCTTCAGCCGCCCCGCCAGCGAAACCCAAGGATCTGCAATGAGATGCAATCCGAGGACGCAAAAGCTGCGGTGTATCATGTGAAGCTAGATTGGAAAACGAACTGGCGCAGAATCGAAGTTGTAAGGGGATGACGTATCCGGCCAGGTCCTGCTGTTTGCTGCAGCCCATTCAGGGGAGAATATCGGAAGATCGTCCAAAGGGGAGACTTAGAATCTTCACGACTGAAGTTGCGTCTTGCTGTGTGATTTCAACCACTTGTCAATGTAAGATCAGTCCCTCCGCTCCTGCGTTGTTCCTCCTCCCACCTCAAACGCAATATCAGCACAAGCTTTTGCCCTCCGATCAGCAAGAAGACCCGCCTGGTGGTTTGCTTGCCATCTAGTGCACGCCCGCCAGAATGGATTCCAAGCCACCCCCAGCTGTTTTCGTCGCACTAGTTCTACTCTTCCTGGTCGCGGACGGGTCAAAGGTGGGGTCGTCCTCGAATTCTTTTGCTGACTGTCCTGGTTGAATTTTGGCTGTATGATGTTACTTCCTGACATTCGCTTGATTCTATTCAATCTGAAGCGCATGCACTAGTTGCCGATGCAGTACTGGAACAGTTAAATCTGACATTAATAACATTAACCTACACTTCAATCGCTAAGAAGCAGATCCATCCTGTGTATGGGGCTAGGGTCTACGGGCCTCCCTTCAAAACCAATTCTTGCATGGGGTCTCACCTCTTTTTAAACGCATCTAATCTGGATTGAGCGGCTACGTTCTCCGAATAGTTGCGTTTTTTTGTTGGAGA